GTTGTTAGGTATACGTGTACAGTTCAAATAGAGAAAGGAAATATTTTTACAAAATAAATAATTTTGATGTTCATAGTACGAAGTGAAAATTTATAGTAATACCAAACACTTATCAAAGCTGGTATATAGACCAGATATAACCCTGAATAACATTAAATAACAAAAAAGCAATACAATTAGTATCAACAGGTCAAATAAACAAGAAAGTACGATTTGAGAGTACTCGCAGTTACTGACAGCTAGTTAAAAGCCAAAACAAATAATAATAAAAAATCATGCATCAAAGACTTAAACTTTTTTTTATTTATTTGACAATCCTACTGTTGCAGGTTGTAACACAAGGAGTGTAAGCATATACAAATAAATGTTTTAATTCTTGATCAACTATAGCTACAAGATAATTTTTTTACTAAGGCTGTGCTCACCAAATCAGTCGGTGGACAATAAAAACTTGGCTCTGATAATCCAATATACATATATAACTTCTCTACAGCATCCGATTTTACCTGGATGGCTGCACGCGCCTGACGAAGCTTATTTGTTTAGCAAAATATTGCGTGAATATATAAGATAAACCAACTACTTTATAACACTCACTAGCGTGTTAAAGTTACATTCTTAGACATATATATATATAACATTTTTAAAGATGAAATTTATGAATGACTGTAAATAAACACAACTATATATATTGATGCAATAAATATACAATGTATAAAAAAAAAATATTGTCGACATTAAAACACGGTATTGTAAACTTAAGTTAATACATAGTAAGAAAGGATAGACAAAACACAATTTTTAATTTTTCCTCTTGCAGCCGCCAACACTTTCTGGAGGACCTTTCTTTTCTCAACTTTAGCGACGATTTCCCTGGGACCTTTTTCGTGGCGCGGTTTTACGTGGGACGGAACATCTTCTTTGATTCCAAGCTAATTTGATAAAAATGTTTTCAGTTTTTCTTTCGTGCTTTCAGGTTGTTTGATATCAAAAACATCAGGAATGCCGCGAAATATTAGATTGTCTCTCATTGAGCTAGTTTGCATATCAACTATTCTATCCTTCAATTCACAATTTTAGTTTTGGAGTTTTTCATTTTCACTTTTTATAAAATTAACATTCTGTTCTATCACTGATGAACGTATTGATGATTCTTGTATACACTGTACAAGTATTGGGATTGTTTGTTTGTTGGCGCATATCTGTTACGTTGGTCGCATGGTGGCCTATAGTTGTTAACATCCACGTCCTTTGGTCTCTGGTGTATAGATGCAATCACACCACGTCTCCTTATTTCTAAACAGTACGCAGACGCAAATAAGGAAAACACAACTAAGCCCTATCTAGTCACATTTTTCAAATTGTGATGACATATCTCTAATTGTTTCAGTTTAATTCAGAAACTCTGGACGATTTAGAATTTGACATATTGCATGGACACCTGTCTGTTTTAAAGTGGCTGTGTTGCCCTCTAAAAGTTATGGTTAATTATCTTTTTTTTATTGAAATGGAGAGACTCGTTAAGATTGGATATTTATCAAAATGCAAGTTTTGATTCAGGGGTAATAAGTAATATGCAGTTTAAAAAACATATCAAAAAGTTAAAAAGTAAATGTTAATACAATCTGCATTTGCTTTTTTTAATGTCGTATTATAAGCTTTTTATTTCTTTACGGTAGAAGTAAATAATAATCTAAGGGTAATGAATTAGTTATAGACTTTATTTATTTGACAATCCTACTGTTGCAGGTTGAAACACAAGGAGTGTAAAGCATATGCAAATAAAGGTTTAAATTGTTGATCAAACTATAGCTACAAGATATAAATTTTCCACTAGAATTTTGCTCACCAAATCAGTCGGTGGACATTACAAACTTGCCTCGTCTGATAATCCCATGTATCTTAAAGCTTTACAGCCGAGTAAGGAAATAACAAGAGCAAAAGATATCCATAAATTTACCTGGATGGCTGATGAAAACCTTTTTTTTTTACCTGGATGGCTGCACGCGCCTGATGAGGTTAATTTGTTTAGCGAAATATTGGGTGAATATATAAAATATACCAACTATTTTTATAACACTCATTAGCGTGTTAAAGTAGTATACCAATGTCAGAGCAAGTATCACTATAGTCGTAATTGCATGAATGCCAACTGGAGTGAAACCTAATTCTTGACAGGGTAAGGATATTATGCTTTGCATGCATATGAAGCGTTATAGGCATGCTAACTACATATAAATCAAATCAAATCAAATTAAATTAAATCATTTTATTGATGTAAAGTCCAAATATTGGGTTGTTACCAAGACAAACATCACAGTATTTACAAAGGTACAATATTCAAAGTTAACCAACATTCATATTATATAAGTATATCATATATTTAGATATTTTGGAGGAGGTGATACTTTGGCAAACTTGAAAGTAAAGAACAATATTCTTAATGATTATGTTATAAAATATAACAAAACAAATATATATGTAATAAAAAAAAAGAATAGAAAATAATCACAAATTTGTATTACATAATTAGTTTTTCTTCTCAGCTAGGCTATTTCTTAGTACATATAAATCATTAACCCCCTTAAAAATAGTTTTAGTTATGTCATACTAATTAAAAGAGGGACGAGAGATACCAGAGGGACAGTCAAACTCATAGATCGAAAACAAACTGACAACACCATGGCCAAAAATAAAAAGACAAACAGACAAATAATAGTACAGATTACACAACATAGAAAACTAAGACTAAGCAACACGAACCCCACCAAAAACTGGGGGTGATCTCAGGTGCTCCGGAAGGGTAAGCAGATCCTGCTCCACATGTGGCACCCGTCGTGTTGCTTATGTTATTACAAATCCGGTAAATAGTCTAATTCGGTAAGTCGCATTCGTGAAAAGGGAAGGGTATTGTAGTTACGACATAAGGAACATATCCGATATCATCTGTGAAACGGTTATTCCATAACGGTCAACCAACTCGTGATTGCGTCCGTAAAATTTACGAAGGGATGATTTCAACTTCACCATTTGGAACTCTTGGCTGAATAGCTTCCTTGTGAGCAGCAATCCTCTATCAAGGAAATCATGATAGGAAACACAAGCCCGGGAATATCGTATCAATTGGGAGATATATACTCCGTAATATAAATGTAATATTATATATGATTTATACGTTTGTATTCTATACTGCTGTCCTTTAGTTGTGTTTCCTCAGATTTATTAACTGTATTAAATTATGTTATGGTTTTACACATGACTAAAATTGTAAAGACTTCCTCTGCATTTTCGAAATTAAATAACAATAACAATCATATTAAAGAATCTCATATAGTTTAAGAAAATCTAATATGATAAAAGCAGATGTTGTGTGTAAGTCAATGAAACATCAAAACCAGATTAAGAAGTAAAGTTTTGTTTTCTCTTACGTCACTGATAAAATAAAAAGAAAAATTACCGCCTGCTTTTTAAAACATTATTTGTAATGGTTACTTCACTTGAAAGAACATGGTCTTATGTCTCAAACTTTGGAAAATTAAGTGAAAAATCGGAACGTTAAGCAACTTTCAACATAAGCTCGGAAAATGAAACTGAAAGTCGTCCAGTTCTTAAAATATTGTTTTACCAGTATGGTAGTTATGATTGATTGTCGTTGTTTTAGCGTCGTGGCCAATATTTGGTACAAATTTCAGGACGAGAACAACTTAATCCATCTTATAGGTATGTTCCGCAAAATGGTTCGTACGGGGTGAAGACATTTTACATTTTTGTTGCAGAGTTTTTTAACATGCAGAGAGTGTTATACTTTCAATACATGTGGTTATACATTCTGCACAGCCAAACGACGTCCCTTACTGAGGAAGGAAGTGGTATTAGTCAATCGGACCAACTCACCACAATTCCTTTACCCATGTGTTTTTCGAGGGTCAGATTAAAATTTTGTTTAGTGTAAAATAGTGCCTTAATTTGCATGCGGGAAATGTAAAAATTTGAATTTCCTAACATTGAAATATTTTTTCTGTATGCGCAATCATTTTTTGCTTTACAAATCAATAGAACGAATTTGTTTCCCCAAACGCTATGTGCGTCCAACTTTTTTGAACTTTAAAAAAATATACAAGTTATTAGACTACGATGAGATGATTAAATTTGTTTTTACGCAAGGACAAAAAAGTCAACCGCATTCCATTGTCAGGCGAAGCGTTCACTAATCATTTAACATGAGAATGTAAAAAAAATCATTTCAATATTCATTTATGAATCATTTTTCTCAATTAAATGGAGGATACCTTGTAGATTGTTCGTTGTAGTTGTATTGTTTTGACAACACGTACATTGTTATTGTTTGTATTTTGACAACAGTCAAGCGTAGACGGAGAAGGATGCTTTAGGGCGTATGCCTTTAAATATCTTTCGATTAGTAAAAATAAATAAAAATGTTTATTGTTGATGATTATTAATAGTCATTTTGTAAGGGTTGTTATGGTGCGATACATGTACATTTCTAAATAAAGGCAACAGTAGTATACCGCTGTTCGAAACTCATCAATCGATAGAGATAAAAACAAATCCGGGTTACAAACTAAAACTTATTTGAACTACTCCTTACTTTTAGAAGATAGATTAAAATAACATAAAATAAATTGCTTTTCACATTAACTGTTTGAATGTTAGTACACCAGATGCCCATTTCGACAATTAGTGTATCTTCTGTAATGATTGAGATCAAAACATTTGAAAGCCAAAAAGTAAATAACACGTTGAAGAACGAATTAAACAAACAATGACAAAAAAACAAAAAAAAACAAAAAAAAAACAAAAAAAACGAAAAAACGAAAAGTAGAGCCAAACCCGGACAAGGAAGCAGTTATAAAATTGTTTTACTCACTTTTTAATTTCATGCATAGAAAAAAAAAGAATTATTGTTATAAATTTATGTAACATTTTGATAAATATTAATTATTCATATATTCAAATATTAAAAGGATGTTAAACGGATGTATTCACAACTACTTATTCGATTTCAACACTGAAAAAGTGTAAAATTATGGGTCTACCACACCAAAATATTCAGACAGGGAAGATTTCGATTTTTTTATCTGTTACCACAACAAATAATAGGCGTTATAGCTACAGCAATTCTAAAAATATTTTACTTATGCATTGTTATATTATGAGATGCATGGAATAGTTTTAAAGGTGATTTAATAATTACAGGAAACGAATGTTTATGAGGTAAGTAATAATACGACTAATTAGACCTCGCATACATACTTGTAAAAATATACAGGGGAGACTTGTAATAAAAACGTTCGGAAAAAGGAAGCAAGTTGACCAGAAAAATAGAGAAAAAGAACGTGGGATATGCTTCACAAAGAAGATGATCTGTGGTAATATTTGTACTTAATATAATCAATATTGTTTGTTTAGTGGAAAACATTATTTTTAATTTTGAAAATAACTAAAATAAAAATATATAAACTTGAAAATGTACTATAAATATAAAAAAAAAAAATGTAATCCTATCTTCATTTTGCAATTAAGTTAATAGTGTTCAGTAAAAACTACTGACTGTTTGAGACACCACTTTTTCATACACCTGAAACATTAAAGGTTGGAACCAACAATATTGCAAAAATTTAATAACACTTTTTTATTCTATTTTGCTGAAAAACATACAATAAGATTTTTTAAATTTTCTTGCATCAGATTTTTAACATTTAATGATAATTGAATACCATAATCTGAAAATGTAAGTAGTTGGTCTTTTCATTTTTAAAATTCATAAAACAAATAATTCTTCCTTTTACGAATAACGTGATTATAAAAATAAAAAAAATAAATAAAGCAAAAATGGCACCGAAAGGGAAAAGAAGTTTGGATATTTTAAAATGTAAGGATGGATGATTAATTCAAATTATGAAATAACTTTTTTTCAAAATACAACAAAGTTTATTTTCTATTAAATGATGTAATTTTTATACTAATAATGCATCTCTCATATTTTCCCATGAAAAGAAAATTTTGATCCCATCGAAACACTAGTTATTCCCGTATATTTGTTGAATTAAAGTTTGCCATGAGAACAAAGCTTTTAGAATTGTTCCCATGGGACCTTTTTTCCCTTGGGAACTTTAATTTTCCCATAGGAACTTAAGATTTTTACATGGGAACTCTAGCTTTTCCTAGGGGAATATTAAATTTTCCAATGTGAAATCTTAAATTTATCTTTAAAAGTATATGTGACCTTCTGAGGTGACATTGGTGACATATATCATGTTTTTTTTATTGCCTTTCTGTTGTTGAAAGAATTTTTCCAATATCTCTCACTAATAAAAAGTCAGATTTGCCTATTCTGGAATGGCCAATTGTTCCCGCACAGTGTTTAATGTTCCCATATGTCAATAACTGTCACATTAAGATGTCCGCTATCGTTGAAAATATTATTTGCAAAGTCATTTTTCGAAAATGTCATCTCCATACCTGAATATGCAAGTTTTTACTCAACATCTACTGATCAAAACGAGACGAAACGCGCGTCTGGCATATAAAATGTTCTACTAGGTATCTATGATGAGTTTATCTAGAAAGATAGACATTACATTAGCACGATAAAGAGGCATAGTTATTTTAGTAGGCGACATTGTCAAATGTCTGAAAACAGTGTGAAAAATTTAAATAAGTTGCAGCAAATAGACATCAGTAACTATGCATATTCAAAGCACAATTTAAGCAAGTTTTGTTCTCTTCTAAAATAAAGAGTTGGACATTTACGTTAAAAATTATCCTCACAGGTATAAATGGAAAAGTCAATGTTTGACAATATGAAGGTTTTCTATCTCTCTAAGTTCTACTTGTTCGAGTTTTCTTTTTTTTTTATTAGAACCCTTTTCGATCATATTGCCACCCAAATATTTTGTAAATTTATAACCATTCATACTTTTCACCCTTACCATTCTTGAAAACTTGGCCAAAGCTTCGAAAGTTGAAAGAAGGGTTCATATCCATATCAAATTAATATTGTCTCATTCTGAATATGCATTTTATTTGCCACTAGACGTAAAACATCCTCCCATGCATCATCATCATCATCATCATCATTATGTCCTTTTATTTGGGTTATAATTTATCACTTTTACACTATGAAACTGTTCGTGTTTTTCAAATAACAACTGAAAAACTCAGTCACAGTCATTGTCCTTGAAATATTGTTTTATATTTAAAATACCCTCTAGAGTATTGTACATCATGTTGTGCTACCTAGTGCTTATGAAAAAAGGTGATAAAAATGATATAAATCTATTTTGTACTGAAAAAATCTGAAGAGTATATAATTATTTACATTTAAGTTGTTTTTGTCGAGCCTGCGACTTTTGTCGCAGAAAGCTCGACATAGGGATAGTGATCCGGCGGCGGCGGCGCTAGCTAACTTCTTAAAAGCTTTATATTTTAGAAGGTGGAAGACCTGGATGCTTCATACTTTGTATATAGATGCCTTATGTTACGAAATTTCCATCTGTCACATGTCCATTGTCCTTGACCTCATTTTCATGGTTCGATGACTACTTGAAAAAAAGTTAAGATTTTTTGTAATGTTAATTTCTCTCTTATTATGAGTAGTAAGATAACTATATTTGGTATGTGCGTACCTTGCAAGGTCCTTATGCCCGTCAGACAGTTATCACTTGACCTCGACCTCGTTTCATGGATCAGTGAACAAGGTTAAGTTTTGATGGTCAAGTCCATATCTCAGATACTAGAAGCAATAGGTCTAGCATATTCGGTGTATGGAAGGACTGTAAGGTGTACATGTCCAACTGGAAGGTGTCATCTGACCTAGACCTCTTTTTCATGGTTCAGTGGTTATAGTTAAGTTTTTGTGTTTTGGTCTGTTTTTCTTATACTGTATGCAATAGGTCTACTATGTTTGGTGTATGGAATGATTGTAAGGTGTACATGTCTAGCTGGCAGGTGTCTTCTGACCTTGACCTGTTTTTCATGGTTCAGTGGTTAAAGTTAAGTTTTTGAGTTTTGGTCTTTTTTTCTAATACTATATGCAATAGGTCATCTATATTTGGTGTATGGAAATATTTTATGATGTACATGTCAGTCTTGCAGGTTTTATTTGACCTTGACCTCATTTTCACGGTTCATTGCTCAGCATTAAGTTTTTGTGTTTTGGTCTGTTTTTCTAGAACTATAAGCAATAGGTCAACTATATTTATTGTATGGAAGGATTGCAAGCTGTACATGTCTGCCTGGCAAGGTTCATCTGACCTTGACCTCATTTTCATGGTTCATTGGTCAATGTTTAGTTTTCTTGGTTAAGTCTGTATCTTAGAAACTATAAACAATAGGTCAACTATATTTAGTGTATTGAATGATTGTAAGGTGTACATGTATTTCTTTTTGGTTTATATGGCCTTGACCTCATTTTCTTGGATCATGTTAAGTGTATGTGATAGTTGTAGTAAAGCTTTATATTTAGGACTATCAACATAATATCAATGCGAGACATTTCAGTGTGTGCACTCTTGTGTGTCATTTATATAATAAGAGTTGTAATTTTGTACTTTTTGTACAAATTATCCTTATTTTTACAACAACCTTCTTTCACCAGCTGATATCTGTTTTACACAAATTTATAAACATCAACTTACATGCAAAATGTGTAACACGATCTGCTTACCCTTCTGGAGCACTTAAAATCAACCCCGGTGTTGTTCGTCTTTTGATCGTTTTGCCATGTCATTGTCATTTTTTTTTTCGACGAATGAGTTTGAATATCACTTTGATATCTTTCGCATCTCTTTTATAGTCACTACTGTTCGTTTGAGCATTAAGCTGCTAATGAGGACAATATATAGGGCTTCCTTACGTTCCTATTCTCCCCCCCCCCCCCCGCTTATGCTAGATACAATGTCCCCCAAAAATCTTATACAAATTTAGTATCAGTGTTAAGTATAAGACTGTAATATATAGTCATGCAAATATGACTGCGTTAAATTCAATAGAAACAATGTGTTGAAAGGTTTGTAAAGTACTGATAACTTGTGAACAAATTCATTACAAAAGTACAATTCGTTCTCAGCATATATATTTTTATACTCATTACTAATGACTGCTATTTTTGTTTCCCATCGACCTGATACAAATTAATACGAATATAAAAGAACTATAATTATCAACACGGTCTTTCTAATTAAGTATTGAATATATTTTTTTTCTGTTAAGGTAATATTTATAACTCTGCATCTGAAGAGGAAGACAAAATACGCATCTCAAATCAATATCTTACAATGTCAAGCTTTATATATCTTTATAAAAGAGGAGTTGATATTGAAAAGGATATCAAGTTTATTTTGAAAAAATGGTAAGCAAAATTTCATACCGTTATTTATAATTATAACAGTTGTTCATTCCGATTTGTTTGCAATGTTTTTAGTAATGGGGAAAATGTAAGTTACTATAAAAAAATAAATCGAGTGTTCGGAGGGTTGCAATTATTAAAAGTTGACATCTTTCTTACAAATATAAGAAGGCATATGCTGCTCACCCAATTTTGTCAATATAATGGAATTATAAACAACTATATACAAACGGGGGGTTTTGTTAGCTATAAAACTAGGTTTAATCCACCATTTTCTTCGTAAAATGTCTGTACCAAGTCAGGAAAATGACCATTGTTTTCCATTCATTCCGTTGGTTGATAGAGTCTAGCGTTTGATTTTGTCAGTTTTATGGACTGCCCCCTTTTTGTATTTACCCTGGAGCTCGGTATTTTTGTTATACGAAATCATTATTGTGCATATGTATTTCGAATTCGAAGAAAAACATCCGTATGATAATTGTTTTCCCATATTATGAGCTTGGATTAATGCATGACCCGTACTAATCTATTGGTCACAGTTATGAGTCACAAAAATGTTCTGGCTTGTTATTAGCTTCAAGTCCGTCTTTATGTTTATAGCCCGTCAAACGTTTAAAGATAGTTGACATATTACTTAGAGCGAAACATGTTGTCTTCGTTCACCATAATGACAACTGTTCGAGAAGTTAAGTATTAGTAGTACGTGTATTGTCTATTAAATAGACTTTGTTTTGTTAAACACTGACCGATAGGGTACATGGTAAGAAGTGAGTAACATTTCCGTCCGCCCGTTTGTCCGAATAATTATTAAAAAAAAAAGAAACGAAGGATTGAAATATGAATGGAAAGTTATTGACAGAGATTT